AAAAAAAAAGAAGTTTATTTCATAAAACGGTTTACTTAAACCAGTGTGACTAGAGTTGAGGAACTGAAAAGGTGGCTCCAAGGTACAAAGAGGGCAATTTACCTGAAACAAGTCAAATAAGGAAACGACCCTGTATATAAGGATATTTGAGTGCCCAGGGTTTCATAAATTTAGTTGAAGAAATATGTAGTAAATAAGTGTTAAAGAAAGTAAGATAGGAATTGGATAGCCTTTTAGATAAAATCAAATGCTTATCAAATGCACCACATTGAACAAAACCAGGGTTTGCCTAAATGTCATTCTTATTAAAAGATACAAAATAATTTGTAACCACATGCAGAAACAAAATGAATCTCATATATAAATTATATTTTAAAAAATTACTCCTTCTGTATTCTCCAGAATTGTATTATTCTGGCTGACTTTTCATCTAGTCACAGATGATTACAACACCGGATTCTAATGATGCATACACATGAGAATAAGCAATATTTATAGTTTAAATGCCACCAGCTGTTAGAATTACAAGAATTAATTGGGATTCAAATAAAAATCCACATAAACTCTAGACACTGCAACTGAAAAGATATTCAGGAAAGAGCATTCTAAATACTTATAAAAATTAAAAATACTAATATTTAGCCCTGAATAACAAATCTTTTACATATTCTATTTTTTTTATTGGGGGGGGGGACTGGGAACCGAACTCAGGACCTCATGCTTGCCAGGCAAGTGCTCTGCCACTGAGCTGACTCCCTGGCCCCCTCTTATATATTCTTTATGTTAGCAGGACAAAATCCAGTAATTTAATTTAGTAAAAAATTTGTATGTGTAATACACACAAATGTTATCTGTAGGAAGACATCACTTTGACATAATCATCTCTGAACCCAGCCCCTAATTTTAGACAGCAAAACGCAATGACATTTCTCTCTCCTTGCAGGATGTCGTTACCCTGCTATTCCTTAAATCAGCCCCTTTTCTTTGTAGAACTACCATGTTGGTAATCATCCCTAAACGTGGTTAGCTTTATTTTTAAGCACTATAAAAACAGTATCATACTAGAACCTAATTTTTTTCCATTTGACATTAAAAATCATTTTTTAATGTTTCAAAGGAGCAATATGCAGACTTTTTATTATATTTGAGAATGCAGACTGGCTTGCTTACTGTGGATCTGAGGCCCATTCTGAAAGTCAATGAGTTAAAAAATTTTTTTCATTAATAAGTTTTCATAAATAGTGGTCTCACAGCATTCTTTTTTTTTTTTTTTTGTATTTTAGGGAAGGGTCTACAGGGTGTTCAGGGTCTCACTACTAGATCAAATTCATAGTGATCCACCTGTTTACAGCCTCCCAAGAGCTAGGATTACAGGCGTTCGCCACCACACCCAGTCTCAAATGCCGTCTCAGTATGCCCTGGGGGTAGGTCCAACATGGCAGGCCTGGGGATCGAACCTCCAGCCCCTGCACCTACTTGCAGGTGCTTTAATCTGCTGAGCTATTTGGCCATCCCTTTCACAGCATTCTGAGTGAGATGAAACACCATATTCTCTATGTTTTACAAATGCAAAACTATGCCCCTAGGTCAAACTTGACTTTAAGATACAATTTTTGTTTAAATCTTTTATTAATTTATTTGGTACGGTGTCTCACTGTGCAGCTCGGACTTAACAGTGATCCTTCCTTCTGCCTCAGCCTTCCCAGCACTGAGATTACAGGTGTACATCACCATGCCCACTTTCAGTGGCTGGCTTGCTGAGGGGCCAGCACAGCATGCAGTACTGGGGATCGAACCTGGGTCATTGCTTTTGCCAGGCAGGTGCTTAGACTGCTGAGCTATCTCCCCAGCCAAGATACAATTTTTAAAAGGTGTAATTATATAGATATAAAGAAAAAGTAATACCTTTTTGATCAATCAATAATGAACATTGTAAAATAACTCAGTTAAGTAAGCAATACAACAGTTACATGTTCAAATTGGCATTAACATTTTATTTTTTAAAATATTTTTTGTATTTTAGGGAAGGGTCTACAGGGTGTTCAGGATCTCACTACTAGATTGAACTCCTAGTGATCTGCCTATTTACAGTCTCTCAAGAGCTGGGATTACAGGCATGTGCCACCACGCCCAGTCTCAATTGCCATCTCAGTGCACCCTGGGGGTGGGGCCAGCACAGCAGGCCCAGGGATTGAACCTCTGGCCCCTGTGCCTGTTTGCAGGTGCTTTAATCCGCTGAGCTATTTGGCCACCCTTGCATTAACATTTTAACTACAGAGAATACCAAAAGGCTCTACTTATTTATTTCACCACTACTCAGCAAGTGACTACAATAACTTTTCAAGTTCTGAGGCCTTATCAGCCTTCAAAACCAAAGATGCAGATGGATGACAAGTGGTATAAAAAGCTTTACATATACACTGGAGGCAATAGTTCAACATAAAACAGTAAATTATAATATCTACAAACCTTTGGAATCAAGCAAAGCAAATCTTTAAGCAGTACAAACACTTATAAATAAATTATGTAATTATAAATTTTATATAGAAAATACCTTTGCATTGTGGTATGTCTATGTCCAGTTCTAAAAGGTGAGGGGAGAAACTTACTTGTTATAATCACAAGCACTAGAAAGATACAAGAAATCAAACTGCACTTAAAGAGCTACTTTCAGCTTTATGCCAAAAGCACACAGATGTTTGACAATTCAAGTTTTGTTAAGTTCATTGCCTATCTTCATATACATATCTTCAATATGAAATTAATACTCAAATTAGAATCCAAGAAATTTTCCTTCCTAGGTATACTAATGGAGACAATAATTTTAATTACATGTGCCAGAGCTAAAGAGTATAAATTTATGACAGTATCCTCATAGTGCTTTCTTCTTCAAGAAACCCGAGTATTAAAATGTGTTATTATTTTCAAGTTGGTTTTAGATAAATTTAGGGTGACCAATACATGGTTTTTCTATGACTGGGAGGTTTCCTAATATGTGGCACAGGACTTTCAGTGTTAAAATAGATCTTATTTGACTTAGTATTGTCCATCACCTTTACTTGTAATATTTTGTAATATTCCTTACTTTCTCCTAAGTCTGTTTTATAAATGTTTTGAAAGATTATAGTTCACTACCATTAACAGCTGCTGTGTGCTACATCATGAAGTGTGAAATCTGTGAATTTCTCCAAGATACAAATATTCACTTAACTTGTTATCTTGACTATTAATCAACAGAAATCAGATTTAAAAGATTTAAAATTTGAAAACAGAAAAAAAAATTTCTACACATTCCAGTTATCTCTCAAGAACTGAAGAGAATGAATTTCAAGATACAACATTCCTTTACTCAACCTCAATTTAATTACCTAAATGGCTGCACAAGAACAAAGGTAGAAATATTTCCAAAAAACAAAAATTTTTATTCATTTCGTGCATCCTCACAACTGAGTACAAAATACATTAAACATTTATTAGTTGAGATTCAGTAACTTTATGTAACAGTAGATAAAGCCACATATCTATATACAACTATCTTGATACATCAGTTGTTAAAATGAGTAACTGCTTTGCATTTGTTGGGCAAATACTGTCTGGATAACAAGTTAAAAGTGCTGGATTATACAATCAATTAAGAAAAAAAAGCTATAGATAAAATTTGAATTTAATGTAATGGGAGCCGAGTGTTAATTTCCTCTTAATTCTACAGAACTATTTATTTCTTTTAAACTGTCAGAATTTGACAGCCTTTTTGTTTTAAGAAAATCATATATGCATAATGCTGAACTCAGTAGCTTCGATAAGAAATTATGTTAAGTCAGATGGGAACAATAATGGCCTCATCCCTGCAGCAATCATTGTTACTATAAATCCCAAACACATTTCTATATGGTTCCAATTTACTCCACAATGTGTTTCACTGACTTGTCAAAATGACTATAGATATCAAATAACTGAGATTTATATGCTCAAAACTGACAAAAATCAGTGTTCTAAATATATACGGCAATTGAGAGTTGCTAAATCTACTGAATCTTTTAAATTAAAAAATATTGCCCATTCTGATGAAACTGCTTACAATGACTACAAGTAAAGATGGTGGCCATTAAGTTTTATCGTGAGCACCTGAGGAACTGTTTGCATCCAATACAAAATGTTTCATTCTTTTGAATTACTGACACTAGCAAATTAAAATAAAGTGGATACATATGGCTGAAACAATCTTCACATTTACAAATATCCTGAAATATCACTAAATCATAAAAAGGAAAGCTGTGGGTTATGTATTATGAATGTTGCCTAATGCATTCCCAACTCTGTTATTTGTTACAAATATGTGTGCAATGGACAAAATAGGCCATTTATTCAAGAGTAACAGCTGGTTTCAACACTGTGCATCTTATCAAAAAAAGGAGGCCACTACTGGAAAGGAGAAAGTTCAATTAACCTCTAAAATGCTGAAAACAGAAGAAATCTCATTTTTGGAAAAAGAGGAGGACTCCTATGCAGCTAATTTAAATACTGTTCTGTTTTTATGATTAACAAGGTAGAAAATTCAGAACAATAAAAACATTGTACAATGCTGACATTAGGAGAGAACAATAGGACTTGATATTATAAATAGGTATGTATTGTTTAGTGAAGACATCTGATTACAAAAGAAATTTCATTTACTGAAGGGGAGCTAAAAAGGAAATAATGTTTCACCTTATCAGTCTAAGACAAAGTGTTACCCTGTGAATATAAACAAAATATCACTGGTACTTAACCGTTTATTTTACATTATCAGCTAACCTATTTTCTTGATCTATAGTAATGGCTAGAAAAAAAGCTAAGAATACAAAAACTCGAAAACTGACTGGATTCTTAAAAACATGCCCCACATCTTCTATAATAACCCTGCAGAAATATTTAATCTTAAATATCAGAACTGCAGCCTCCACTTTTTAATGGTAGCTCTGCTCCCTGGCAATATTTCACTGATGTAGCCTAAGGCTGTAGGTAATGGAACATTACTCACTATGATAGCCAGATTTCTTCTGCATGGCGGTTACAGGGCAATCTTTATGAGCCAGAAGAAGCTGTTTCAGTTGTGCCACTTCATTTCTCAGCAGGGTGACTTCATTCTGGAGAAGAAACATATATACATACCTTTATCAGTAGTACACCAAACGTATTTTTTACTGTTTAAAATAAGTGAGAATTAAGATATGAAAATTGGACATCTTTGGCAACATATAAGGGAATAAAGAAAATGTACTGCTTCAATATGCCTAATCAGTACATATCAGCTTTAATATTTTAGCATCGGTACAAAAATTACAATTTGTATAAAAATTTAAACACAACTGAAGAGCATATTTAAAAATTTTTATATTAGCATTAGTCTTGAGATTCCTTTCATATTATAGAAGTATTGTAATTTACCATACCAAAACATTAGTAATGTGCCTCAAGTTTACCATATCCTTGGGACCTTCATAGTAGACTGAACTCTATGAGATAATAATTGTCCTATAAAAATAGTCAAGTCTAATGAGTAGTAATAACTGCAATCTTTATCTAGAAACCTTTTTTTCTTTACCTTGCTAGTTATTTTAGTCTCCTTTAAGATTATTCAACCTAATATAAAACGTGCACTGGTCAAGAAGTTTCCACATGTATTCCACAGCCATGCCTTGCACATGTGCATATTTAGATATAGTATGTTACACAGTACTTATCATACTGGATTGTAATATCTAGTGTCCTTACATGCCAACTCTCTTAAAGTAAGCACAGATCATCTCTCTCCAGGTAGCCCCAGAACACTGTACAGTCTGGGTTGGACAGAGTTGATAGATACATTTTAGAGAGGACTACGATAGTTCTATGTTCAGATAATACCAAAAAAAGTAAAATAGTTTAAATAATATGAAACTGGTCCGAGGTCCTGCTTTCATTATTTGCACCAATTTTACAGCACTATGTCAAATACAAAAATTTAAAAATCACAACTGTCTTCCCTCCCAAATGCTCCACAAAAAATCATAAATTAAATAAAAAGATGTGATAAAACTACTGAAGCAGTTATCAATATAAAAATAGTTAATTTAAATACTTTTATAAGTATTAAAATTAAAACAAAATTCCTATGAACTCAAAACTAAATATATACATTTAAATTGTCTCTTTAAATGGGTAGGCTTGAAACTGATGAATGGCACATGAATACCTATACTTCAAACCTAACAGGTCATGGCAGCATGGCTGTCAATCAAATTAGATTACTGGACCACTAACAAACAAATGTACAGATGCCACAGGCTCATAGTGGGAAATGAACCCTAAAAACTGCAGAGGTAAGGCACTTCACTCTTACTAGAACTTGTATTTGTACTCACTGAATTTTTACTGGAGTCATACTTGGGGACAATTACAGGTAAGATCAAGAACAGAAAATAAAATGACTAAAAACTACATATTGCTATGCATACATGTAAAAGATACACAAGTATTATAAAACTTGTATGTGGTATGATTAAAAACTACAGTGAATATTTAAATTTTTAAAAATACATTACAATAAAAGACACAGGGCTGGGGAGATAGCTCAGGGGTCTAAGCACCTGCCTGTGAAGACCCAAGTTTGATCCCTGCTACCACATGCCGTGTTGGCCACGGAACTGGAAATGGGCATGGCTGTGGGGCACATCTGTAATCCCAGAGCTGGGGAGGCTGAGACACAACGATCACTACGTGTCTCAACTGTGTAGTGAGATCTTGTATTCAAAAATAAAAAATAAAAAAACAAACAATAAAAAGACATATTGCCATTACTCCCTCTCAAAATATTCTCCTTTGCTTTAATTTTGCCACTCTCTGCAGCAGATCTAGAAGTCCTCTTCAGTTGTGCTGTGATGGCTGCCTCTCAGTCCTGAGTGGATTAAAAATGTTTACCTTTCATGATCATTTTGATTTTTGGGAAGAGCCAGAAGCTGCACTGTGCTGGACCTGGTAAACAGGATAGATGAGGATACACTGTAATGTTATCACATGCCTGCTTTCGGATGAACAGTCTGTACTGAGCAGCATTCACCATATCTTTAATTATTTTAATTATACCTTCTAAACACACATATAAAGAAGACTCCTGGAACTACTTCAGAAAGTGCTAAGAATGAAGGGTTAAATTCAGTAAGTGGCATAGCTGGATACAAAGTTTCAAGACTCAAAAATCAACAGCCTTCCAGTATAAAAACAGCAAATTCACTGAGAAAGAAATTAGGGAAACAACATCTTTCACAATAGTATCCTCTCACAAAATGAAGTACATAGGAATCAATCTAATGAAGGAGATAAAAGACTTCCACATTGAAAACTACAGTACTCCGGAGAAGGAGATTGAAGAGGATATCAGAAAATGTAAAGATATCCCTTGCTCTTGGGTAGGAAGAACCAATGTAGTAAAAAAGGCTATACTTCCAAAATTAATATAGACTTAATGTAATTCTAATCAAAGTTTCCATAGCATACCTCACAGAATTAGAAAAATAACCTCCAAGTTAAATTGGAATCAGGCGCTATCTAGAACGGTAAAGTCAATTATGGGCAAAAAAGGCATGGCAGAGTGCACCACAATCCCTGACTTGAAATTATACTATAAAGCTACGGTGATAAAAACAGTACGGTACTAGCAAAAAAGCAGACCTGAGAATCAATGGAACAGATTAGAAGATGCAGAAACAACTCCAGACATACTCAGTTACCTTATCTTTGACAAAAGTGTAAACACATTCACTGGAAGAAGACAGCCTCTGTAATAAATGGTGCTGGAAAAGCTGGCTCTGCATGTGATGAAGATTGAAACTAGTCCCATATCTTTCAACATACACTAAACTAAATTTGAAATGGATCAAAGACCTAAATACTAAAATAGAAACATTAAATCTGCTGGAAGATAGAATACATAAAACTCTTGAAGACACTGGTATAGACAAAGACTTTATGAATATAACCCCAATTTTATAAGAACTATCATAAAGAACTAACAACTGGGATCTCATCTCATTAAAAAGCTTTTGCACACCAAGAGAAACCACTAACAGAGTGAAGAGACAATCCACAGTGTGGGAAAAAATGGTAGGCATGAATCACCTTGCTCAGTTTCTGAAATTTTTATACAAAGAAAAATCAGAAGACAGAGATAGGTATGCTATATAGCAAACATGAAGATTCATACATAGAGACCTCAGAAAATAAGAGAAAGAGGTTTCTATCACATACATTTTGCTTAAGTCCAAATTAAATTTGAAGGATTATGCTAAACCACAAACAGATTTAATATTAATTGAATAAAGAAATAGTTACCCTTCTCCCATCTACTTTGTAGATTATTTCAGGGTACTCTAACTGGATTCAGCATCCAAAACCCTACGATTTGTGAATACTTGCAGAATATGTTGATTAGTCTCCTGGATCATTTTGAAAATTTAATGAAATAAGGAACAAGAAGGCATTTTGAAAATGTGAAAGACCCATTCCAATGTGAGGAATCATTATTTTGTTAAAGTAAAACAGACTTGAAAAGAAAGAGGAGATAGAATAGTAAGCCCCTCAGAAAATATTATTTTGGTCTAAATATAAAACAAATTATTTTATTATCTGTTCTTCTGCTTCAATCTAATAATGTGATACTCAAAGGCTAATTATACACTAGTGACCAAATAATATTTTTCTATACTCTTTCTCTGAAGTACATCAGACTGATAAAATTATGACAGGATAGACAATTCACTGACCAATCAGAAATTTGGTCCATAAATTGAAGACCTTTGGCATTCTAGCTTAGCCACTACCTCCAAAACTGAAGAAACAATATTGAGTAGTTCCTTCTTTTGAGGAATTTCTCATTGCCATAGGCATGACATGTTTTATATTTAGTTTTTTCAAAAGTCAGTTAAATATCAAGATTCTCACTACGCATTTCTAAGGGTTATCTTGGATTCAAAACCTTAAACCTAACAACAAATTATTTAATTTATAATAATAGGGAAGGAAGATAACAGGGTTCTCATTTAAGTTATGTAATATTTTGGAAATATTTTGCAAAGCAAATGGAAATGAAAATGATCCCATTCCTCACATTTAATTATTTGTTTCATATCTGTCTCCTTCGTTAGACCCAAATTTTAAGTACAAAGACTGTGTCTTTTTCACTGCTACGTTCCCTGTGTTTAATCATATTCCTTGCATCCAACTGATACATAATGACAGAATAACATTTCATAATATACTTTCAACCTACCTCTCTACTATGTCTCATTTAATTTTCATAATAGTTCTTATTCTATCAGTTTGTCAGATAGAGAAGGTTCAGGCAGAAAGATTTTTAGTAATGGACAGTAAAAATAAGTACTATCTCTCAAATCCATATAAAACGCATGAGGTAGGAGTATCAACACCATTACCCTTTACTTCTTGTAGAATATAGTATTAAACACTGAGAAGAAAAAAATGGAAGGCAGTTATATCAACTTTTTCAGCAATTAAAGCAAACACGCATTGTATACCATCTACTAATATTGCTATTCCTATTTCAAACATAATACTTAAATAAAATAGTTTAGGTACCAGAAATAAAAGGTTTGATCCCATTCCCTACAAGTCATTGAACCAAAAAACAAAACCTTTTTGCACAATATTAACTTTTGAATGAAAAATCCTGTATTTAGCTATAAAAATATGCTCTACTAATTTATCGAGCTGCTACTCTACGGCTATTTTGCAACATTTAAGCTTTAACTAAAATTCATAATAAAAAATCTTTATAAGGTTTACTCATCGAGTAACTGTTAAAGAACTATTCATAAAGTCTGTCTTTTTGTACATTAAGGAAACATGCTAAAATTGGAAACAAACTAAAAACTAATGGCTGTAGTGAGTATAACTGAGAGATAAAGCTATAAACAAGTTAAAATAATTTCAAATAAAAGGCAAAAGTTATAGAATACATAGTGCTTTCAAAAAATATAATGAGGCAGGAGGATTTCCAGGGTTTTGGGCCAGTCTGGCTATATAGGGAGTTCAAGGCCAGCTTGAACTACATAGTGAGTCCCTCCCTCCTTCCCTCCTTCCTTCCTTCCCT